GAGAAAATAACTGAGGCTAGGACTTTATAAAATACAGAGGTTTATTTAGCTCATAGATTTAGAGGCTGACAGTTCAAGACCAGCAATACTAGCTGATCAGCCTCTGTTGACAGTTTCCTTAGCTGTGTCACCTCATAACAGAACAGGATAAAGTGAACCTGCAACATGCAAAATGCTGCAAGAATGTGAGGTGGCACATTTTTGTTACAATCTGGTTTCTCAAGAACTAGCTTTTTCTGAAAGGCCAGCATTGACCCTTTCTAAGGGTGCTGCCCACATGATCTAATTACCTTCCCCTAGGCCCCACTTTTCAAAGGTTCCAACTTCTCTCAACATGGCCACATAGGGGACCAGACCCCCAACAAATAAACCTGTGGGGGACTCACTCAAACCATATCCAAACCACACACATGAAATGAAAGAGAGGTAACTGGTCCAAATAGAAGACTGAATGCTAAGTTTGGCGATCTCCTGACACAACCAGCATGGATCTCTCAGACACATCATGTGTGAAGCCTGGAGCTTGGCCACATATAGGTTCTTCAGGCCACTGCAGCTTGGTGAGGTCCAGCTCAACTCCAAGCTCCTTGACTCACCATTCTGTGGTGTGCAGACCTGTGTCTCAGAATACTCTTGGGAGGCTTTCCTTTGTGGCTCAGAAAGCCTAGGCCTGCTCTCCTAGGCAGTTGTGGTGTCTGGAAGGTGGCTGTGTGAACTTTTGTCCAAATTTGTGTGTTACCAAGGTTAAGGATGCAGCACCAGTCAAAAATCAAGGGTCTGGAAGCTCGCTGTAGAGTTGCCAGTGTGAGTCTGCAGTAGAAGACTGAAGAAACTGGGGACTGCTTTCCAAACGCAATGGCAAAAACTGGAGCTCTCCTGAAATAGGGACCCTTCTTTCTTCTCTGCCTTTTTAGTTTGTCCTGGCTAAGAGCCTATGTTGATGATGTTACCACATCTGGGGTGGGTCTTCCCCACTCAGTTTGCTGGCCTACATGTCAGTCATCCACATACTCACCCAGAACCCTGCTTTCCTAATCAGCTAGGCACTTCCTACTCAATTCAATTGACCAAAATACCACAATGAAATTCAATTGGTCAAGGGAAGACAAACTACAGTGTGTAACAACTCTTCACATTTGGATTGTACAATCAACTTTCTACAATTTCATAAAAATGCTTTAAAATTTCTAGCAAAGCCTGAGGTTGATGATAAATGAAATGAGAATTTTTTGAGGTTTAGTGATGGTTCTGGGTATTTTTCATGTTGGAAGAATATAATTAAGTTTGAACTGATGGTAGTTTTTTCACTCTTGTGAGTAAAGAATGAATTCTTTGAAAAAATAAAATTTCTAGTCAAATTAACAATTTTATGTATTAAAACGCTGTTCTTTTGGGATTATTTTAGCATCATTGAAAAACTCAACTTTGGACATAAAATACTTGTGGGTAAAGTGGTGACTTATATAGTCTTTTTTGATGATGACCTGCAGATTTCTTAAATTTGAAACATTACTTTTGACCTGAACATGGTAGTGCACTCTGATAATCTCAGCTCTCCAAAGGCCAAGTCAGGAGGATTGCTGTGAATTTGAGGGCAGCGTGGGTTGCATAGTGAGTTCAAGGCCAGCATGATCCACATATATAGACCCTGTCTCAAAAAGTCGAAAAGCAAAAGCAAAAACAAAATCCAAATCAAAGTGCAAACAACAAAATTCCCCAAAACAAACAAACCAAAAACCACAACTTTATTTTTTGGTGTTTCTTCCCATTCTTTTGTTATTATGCTTTTCCATTCACTTCTCTTTTCATCTATTCCTTCACATCACTGTTCAGAAAATTTGTCTTTGTAGTGCAGGCTGGGCTTGAATTCACTATGTAGCCCAGGCTGGTCTCAAATTCACAGTGGTTCTCCTGCCTCAGCCTCACAAGTATTGGATTACAGGAATGTACCACCATGCCCAGCATTGCCCACTTTTCTTTGCAGCAAGGCTTTCCGTTTTCTTGCAGGAGAAGTTTGTGGTAAAGTGAGATCCTTTATGGATTGCCCCTTGCTTAGTGTTCAGACCACCTACCTCATTGTTGAGGTTTCTTAGACATCCCGGCGAAAATCATTTCCCCTGAGAAGTCCTTCTTGATCCTTGACAAGGTCAGGTCCCCATCATGTGCTCTTTTTTTTGAAGCAAGTTTTCACTATGTAGCCCAGGGTGGGCTTGAACTCCTAGCAATGTTTGGGGCCCTGGGACCTTGGACCTCCAGGCTTCAAGAGCTACAAAAAAAATTCTATGTTTTTGCAAATTACCCACTTTCAGTCATTTTTATGGCAGCAAGAAGTGAACTAAGATAGGTGGTGGAGCTCAGCACCAGAAGATACTAATTCACAGGTACCCTGTTGAGGGTTGGCAAAGCTGGGCTGTAGCAGGTATAGGTCTGGAGGACTTTTTCTCTCCACAGTCCTTCTAGATGAAAGCAATTTACAATCTGCGGATCAGTCAGATTTCTGAGAGTTTGATTTAAAGTGTGGGCCACCTCCTCTCTAAATAGTCACACACGTCATTTGCATAAAATACTGAAGCTACACATGCCCCCTAGGGCTCTTCCTTGGGACCACCAAGGAGCTTCTAGGTATCCATAATCTGCCATTGGATTGATTGCACAATGGGCTGGGGGACAAAACCATGTTTGTGTCATTATGCAAAGCTCTGGGGTGGGTGACACCACTACTTTTGTATTCCCCAATAAGCTTCCACATCCTTTTGCAGTTAGAGGTTTATAGTTTGCTCCTCTGTAGGATGGTGACAATAAGAATATGTGACTCTTAAGGTTGCTGTGAGGATTAAATTACACATTGCATGGAAGTGCTACTTTGATCCACTCATTCATTTGTTCACCAATTCAGTAATAATTTACTGGACACTTTCTATGTGCTGGGGAGTATTCTAGGCATTGATGATATGGCACCTTGGACAAGGCATATATGGTGACTATTCTTACAGACTTTCTACTGTGAGAGATAAATAAACAAGAAATAAACATGAACAGTGATGTTAGATAGATAAAAGCTATTGTTAAAGCAGCATGACATTTTAGAAAGTACAGGGAGCCATTTTAGACTGAGGGATCAGGGAAGACTTTGTCTTGCTTTGCTTCTGAGTAGAGACCCTTAAAGATGCAGGTCCTTGGCACCAGGGAGAACAGCTTTTGTTGAAAGAACCTGAACAGGAGGAAGCCTGAAAATAGTGTGGAGGCTGGATCAGTGTGAGCCAAGATGAAGCGGTGGGGGGAGAGGGCAGAGAAGTGATGGGGCCATGTCATGTAGGATTTTGTGGACCACGGGGCAGATTTTGATCTCATTCTCAATGACATGGGAGCATTGGAGGACTTGGAGAGTTTAGGAAAATTGAGTAATTTACATTTTGATTGGATTACTATGACTTTAAGAGTGGTGAAATCATTTTAAAGGTATAAGAATGGAAAGAGCTACGATATCCAGTAGCAAAAAAAAAAAAAAAAGGAATGGAAGGAGCAAAACCAGTGAGAAGGGTTTGCAGAAATCAATGCAAGATATTTTAATAGTAGATGTCACCATTTTTATGAGTTTTAGTCAAGTTGTTTTGAAGGGGGACAACATCCCACCAAATACACAGCTCAGTGAACACACTCATGTCCTTGACATGTTGCAGATGAAATGACAATACAAATGGTCCCCAGAAACCCATTCCATCCCCTTCTAGTCACTACCCTTCTGCTATTTTGACACTATAGTTTGCTTTTTAAATTTTTAACATTTATATTAGTACATAGTTGCAGTACACAATGATTACATTCATTGTAGGGAGCTGGTACATGTATATAACAAATCTTAATTCTTTTTCCATCCCTTTCCCCTCTCCTCCCGCTCCTTCCCTCTATTAGTCCTCTTCCCATGGGCTACTTTCACCTCTATTTGAACTTTATGGGAAAGAGACAAATGTAAACCAAACTTGATTTTGTGTCAAGTTGCTTCCACTCAAAGTTATGTCTGCGAATTTCATTTAGATTATTGATTAGGGCTCTAGTGGGCTACTTTTCATTGTTGCATAATGAGACATTGTGTGAAACTTTCTGTATTTATTCCACATGTTGATCATTTTACTAAGAATTGATATGAATATTCTGGTTGATTTTTTTTGGTGAACAAGTACACATTTTTGCAGAGCAAATATTTGGTGGTGGAGTTACTGAGTATGCCTTTGTTTTGCTTCAGTAACTACAGCTGGCCTTGTATATCTGTGGGTTCTACTTCAATTTTGGACTGAAAAATAGAGGGAAAAAAATTATGCTTGTATTGAACATGTATAGATTATTTTCTTACCATTAATCCCTAAACAATACAGTACGACAACTTCTTAAATAGCATTCCCATTGTATTAGATAAAAGTAACATAGAGATGGTTTAAAGTACACACATAGGTTATGTAGAAATACTACTGAGGATTTGGGTATGCAAGGGAGCCCTGAGATCCACTCCTCACAGATGCCAATTGGTGACTTTCCTGTCTAGCCATTTCTCAAGAGGCTGTACTGATCAGATTTTTCAAATATCATGATAAGGTCTAGAGGGCCATTGCTTTCTCTTCTCCTTTACCAAGAGGGTACAATAGAGTTGTTCTTACAGGAAATTATTTAGGATCAGAATGCAGGTGGAATTTAGGGGAAAAAAATTCTTTTATTTGAGATACAAGGGAGATCTGCCTGGACTCAAGGGTACAGGTTAAGATGAGATTAGCAATATTCAACCAGCTGTACTGCTTAGGGCCCCAACCATTAGGAGCAGAGCCTGGCTGAGTCACAGGTGCACCCGTTAGTTGTTAGGGCCCTGGAAAGGAAGCAAGGCAGCCAAGAAGCAGCCAACGATTCTTGGGGTGGCATCTAATTACCAGTGTGTATTTAAGTATTTTAATGGTTTAACAACTGGTGTGAATACTGACTAATAATGACCCTGGCATGGGTATGCTTGTCAGCTCCGAGAGAAATATGGAGATGTCTTCACTGTGTACCTGGGACCAAGGCCCGTGGTCATGCTGTGTGGTGCAGATACCATACAGGAGGCCCTGGTGGACCAAGCTGAGGCTTTCTCTGGCCGGGGACCAATTGCTTCCATGGATGCTGTCTTCCAGGGATACGGTGAGGATCTCAAAGGCACTGGAATGGGGCAGGATGGAGGATGGGACATAGAGAAGTTGAGTGTAAAAAAGGAGGAAAAATGTGGGGAAGGATCCCACCTCCTTGAATATCCCTATATCCCTTGCCTCCCCTGCTACCACTAGGTTTGAGCTTTGCCAATGGGGAACGCTGGAAGGTCCTTCGGAGATTCACTTTGGCCACCATGAGGGACTTTGGGATGGGAAAGAGGAGCTTGGAGGAGCGGATTCAGGAGGAGGCTCAGTGTCTGGTGGAGGAGCTGCGGAAATCCCGGGGTGAGTCTTGATGTATGGGGAGGGTAGGAAATAAACACAAACATACACAGTGAGGGGCACGGTGTGCAGGAACAGAAACACAGAAAGGTACACATGGGAAGGCAAGGGTAGAAATTCAGACAGAGGGAAAGGGACAGAAAGAGATGGAATAGAAATGAAGAGAGACAAGCAGTAAAGCAACACAGATAGCCAGGGAAGGAACTTTGAGGTTTACAGTGTCCAAGAATAACTCAGAGAAAGAGGCTGAGTGACTGCATGCTATTTATTTGAGTCTAGAGAAATCAATTTGTGGGTTAATTGTATGAATCAAAAGCAAAGACAATCCTCATAAAAGAAATCAAAGGGAAAAGGAGGAAAAACAGACATTGTGAAAACAGTGAACTGTGTTTGCCTTCCCTCAGCGAAGTGTTGATGAGCAGGCAGTGAGCAAAGAGGAGGTTGATGGGCACTCTGCTCTTGGGGAGAATTTTTAATTCCTTGTGGATCGTATGCCACAGAGATGTAGAGGATACAGTGGCCTTTGTTACCACCTCCTTGGTCTCCATCCTTTCACTCATGTCAGGTCTCCATCGTGTCTGGGGAATCTGAAACAGGGGAGAATCTATAGCGACAGACAGTCTGAGAAGAAAGACAGTGGGAGACAGTGAGACATGGAGACAGAGACATGGAAAGAGGAAGCGACAGACATAGATGTACAAAAGGAAGTAGAAGAAACAAGAGAGTGAAGAAACTCAGAGCGGCAGAGAAAATAAAGGCAGAGAGAAAGTGAGACAGAAAATTAGAGAGACAGATGGACAAGTCTCAGGCAAAGGTCTGCAAAAGAATAACAGGAGACAGACAGGTGAGACCCAGAGAGAGAGAGAGAGAGAGACAGAGACAGAGACAGAGACAGAGAGAGACAGAGAGAGACACAGGGAGAGATCTATCCAATGTTCTAGGGCTCAGAGGCTCCCTCCTTCTCACCCAAGCCCTGGAGAAACCAGAGAGATGAAGAATGAGTGACAGGTAGGAACGAAGTGATGAAGTAATCAGGGCTTTTAAATTGGATTGGACACTGCCATACCTCCTCAGCCCTGGGGCTTAACTTTATGCCCTTACAGAGTGGGAGTTGGGGGCTGGGGTGAGATGCAGGGAATGGACCAAATTCCCTGGCTCTGTCTCCGAGATGCTTGGTCTGAATCCTGACCCCAGTAATGAGTAGCTGTGTTACCTCAGTCAAATCATTCAATCATTAATCATTCATCCATCAATAAAGTGGGGGTAATAATAGAACAATATCTTCCTTACAATGTTGTAGAGGAAATTAAGTTAAAATAACTCATGAAGTGCATAGAATACAGCCTGGCACATAGTACCAGCCACTGAGTGTTAGTGTTTATTGCTATTCTTATCCTTTACCACTGAGCCATGGCAGTCACAGACAAAGGGCAGCATCCAAGTGCTCCCCAGGCTCTTGAGTGTGTGTCCTGTGAACTGCTGATTTTCCCCCCAGGAGGCCTTGTGGACCCGTTGTTCCTCTTCCAGTCTGCCACTGCCAACATCATCTGCTCCACTGTCTTTGGAAAACGCTTTGACTACAAAGACCATCAGTTCCTGAGGCTGCTGGACCTGATCTATCAGACCTTTGAACACATGAGCTCCTTTTCCAGCCAGGTCAGGGAACTGAGAATGAGAGTGGGGGTGAAGGGAGCAGCTAGCACAACCAGGAATGATGGCCTGCTCAGGGGGGCCCAGAAATGCACTGAGGGCTGGAAGAAGGGTGGAGACAGCACAGAGTGACAAGGACACTGAGAACTGAAATCAGGGACAGACAGTGAACAGGGAACAAGAATCTGAGAAAAAGAAAGGGGAGTGAAGGGAGTGCAGAAATAAAGTTGGAGAGAGAGAAAATGACATCTTGGCAAGAGAAAAGGGAGGAAGAGGAAAAGAAAATAAAGGATAGAAATGGATTCTGGGAGACAAATGTTTTGTCAGTGTGTGTCTGGGGGGGGAGGGGAGTGTCTGTGTAGTCTGTATGAAAGAGAAAGAGAGAGGTAGACTCAGTGGATAGAGAGAAGGAGGAGTAGTGATTTCCCATGCAGGTCTGGGACTCAGGACAGCTTCCCAGCCCTCTGATCTGCTAACTGAGCCCGAGGTGGGCCTCTCTGCTCCTTCTTTCTTGTAGGTGTTTGAGCTCTACTCCAGCATCCTGAAACACTTTCCTGGCACACACAGGGAAATTTACAAGAATTTGCAGGAAATCATCACCTTCATTGGCCACAGTGTGGAGAAACACCATGAAACCCTGGACCCCAGTGCCCCCAGAGACTTCATTGATGCCTACCTGCTCCGCATGGAGAAAGTGAGATCTGGGAGGGGGAAGGGATAGGAGGGGAGGAGGGAGAGGTGAGCAGAAGAGAAGGAATGACATATGAAAGGAGAATAGGGGAAGGAAGAACAGAGGATTGGGAGGAGGGAATATGGAATGGAAGAGAGGAGAAGCAGAAGGTAAAGGAAGATGAAGTGGAAGGAAAGAGAAAGTAGGAAGGAGAAACTGAAATAGGGAGGGAAACCAGGAAGTAGTAAGGGCCGGTGGAGGAAGAAAATCAGGGCAAAAGACTAAAGAGTAATAAGAGTAAAGATCCAAAGTGGCAGAGAGAGAATGGGGAGACCAAAAGTGAGAAACAAGACAAAGAGATGAAAAGAGGTGGAAACAGAGCCACGTGGAATAAAGAAAAGCAGAGGGTGGGAAAACCGAGAGAAAGAGAGAGCGAGAGAGAGGGAAGGGAGAGAGAGAGAGAGAGAGAGAGAGAGAGAGAGAGAGAGAGAGAGACAGAGAGAGAGAAACCCCAAGGACAGAGATGTGCAAAGCAGCCAGATACCTGAGTCCCAGAAACAGAAAGAGGGTGCTTAGAGGGACAGGTGACCCTTCTGCAGCAAGGCTGTGGTCTTCCCTGACCCTCTCCTCTCTCTGTGCTCTGGACCTAGGACAAGTCTGACCCACACACTGAGTTCCATCTCCAGAACCTAATCCTGACCTCGCTTTCACTCTTCTTTGCTGGCACGGAGACCACCAGCACAACTCTCCGCTATGGCTTCCTGTTTCTGCTCAAACATCCCCACGTCACAGGTGTGTCGGGGACAGCCAGTTAAGAAGGTCTTGTGACCCCTTTTGGGCTGCAGTGGTCGGGTGTGGTGACCTCATGGACAAAAGATAACACTGGCCACTTATGCCAGGAACTCTACTGGCTTTGGACTAGCTCTCACCTAAGCAGTCCTGGGAATGTACAGGTGAATGAAAAATCTGTTGACTTGTGTTTCCACTGCTTTCTGCCATCACACTTAAAAATTGAACCATCCAGCTGCCCATCCATCTGTTTATTAATTCACCTGCATACTTACTAGTCCTTTTATCTATGATTCATCAAAGAATGTATAGTTTTATTCATTTATTTGGGTTAATTGATTCATGAGCTGATCCTTTGAATGCTGATAGTCAAATGAACTAGTTGTCATTGATTCATTGACTCATTTAATTATGCATCTATCCATCCACCTATAGATGAACTAGGTATTTTTCCCCTTTTAGCAGTCTTCTGATTTATGTTTCATTCACCCATCCCTCCTTCATTTATTCAGTTATTAATTCATTTATTCATGCCTGATTTATTCATCATTCAATCCTTCCATATATTTAGTTATTTATTCATACCTTCACTACTTTATTCATTCATACATTCCTCTATAAATCTAGCATTCAGATGATTATCAAGTACCAGAGTTAATTGATTTGTTTTTGAATCATTTATTAATAGGTTTATTGATCCACGTATGATAGATACATTGAATACATACATCCATTCAGTAGTTTGTTCATCTCATTCATTCAACTATTTTTTCATTTGTTGATTTAGCCATTGATTGGTTGATTGATGAACTCATTTTATCATGGAGTTTTTCCTGGATTAATTTATTGATGTATTCTATTGTTGCATTTTATAAGACATAACAGTGACCCATTTACGTGCATAATAAATATTAGTTCATTTCTTTTTCATTTTAGAGGAGGAGTTTTGGACTTCAAGATGTAAAATTCCGGCAAACTTGTGGGGTGTGTGTGTGTGTGTGTGTGTGTGTGTGTGTGTGTGTGTGTGTAGCAGTGGATATGAGGAGATAATTTATAGCATTCATTAGATTTTAAAGTGTCAGCATGAGTGTTGATTTTTCCACCTTTCCCTCAGCCACACCTGACTGTATCGAAGGTATGAATGGTATAAACCCTTTCTGTAGTTTTTCTGGCTCATTGGTTGAAAGAAAACAAGGGCATTGCTGAAGAGCCTTTATGATGTGGGGTTCATCATCCCCTTTTCTTTACAGAGAGGGTCCACAAGGAAATTGAACAGGTGATTGGCACACACCACCAGCCAGCCTTGGATCACCGAACCAAGATGCCATACACCGAGGCAGTCATGTGTGAGATTCAGAGATTTTCAGACCTCGCACCCATTGGTGTACCCCACGTGGTCACCAAAGACACTCACTTCCGAGGGTTCATCATCCCCAAGGTGAGCCTAGCTGGGCTAGCATATCTTTGTGTGAGCCTCTTTGGTTTTCTAAGCTCCCATCTCAACCTCCTGTTGGTTTCTCAACAGGGAAAGCTTATTTCAACTTTCTTTTCTTCTGTATATCTATTTATTTATGTTTTGGCATGTGGAGGCCAGGGAATAGCAATAACTTTTGATCCTGTAACCTTTCTTCAGAACACTGAAATATACCCAATCCTGAGCACTGCTCTCCATGACCCACATCACTTTGAAAACCCAGACACCTTCAACCCTGATCACTTTCTGGATGCCATGGGGGCACTGAAGAGGAGTGAAGCTTTTATGCCCTTCTCCATAGGTAAGTTCACTCATTACCCATCTCCCAGACACTTGAAGGTGGTTCCCATTCTCTCCTTGAGAGAAAGGATGGCAATCACTTGTTTACTGAGCTCTTTTGTATATTCCACTTGCTTTAATCCAACTACCCTAGGCCATCTTCACTACAACCCTTGAGGAGACACAAGTGTGACATTATGTCCTAAAGGGACATCTTTGCAAGCAAAGCCTTGGCAACTACACAATTTCTAAACCCTCTGCACATGCTGGTATACACCTGTAATCTCAGCTACTTAAGAGGCTGAGGCAGGAGGATTACAAATCCAAGACCAGCCTGGGAAACTTAGCAAGACCCTGTCTCAAAACAAAATGAAAAATGGCTGGTGACATAGCATAGTGGTTGCCTAGCATGTTTGAATCCCTGAATTTAATCCTTAGTGCTGAGAAACAATTCTAAATCAGAGCAAACTCATTATTTCAAAAAACCAAATCAAAACAAAGCAACGCATGTGTGTCTTTCTCATGTAAGGCAAAATACAAAGTGCACAATAAAAGATGGATAGAAGAAAAGAGAATGGATCTCTTGCAAATGGGAAAATATCCAGGAGACTAAGGGCAAAGGCAGATGGTGAGGGGAATGGGACATACATAAAATGAAAATATCCCATGTACAGAAACCTAATAACTTCAATAACTGTAAACATTATGGTCATAAAAATGAGATATGATTAATACTACCAACAAGAATTAAAATGGGAAAGGAGGAGAGATGAAGGAGTGCAGGAAGGGTAAAGGGATGGAAAAAAATGAACAAAGCTTTATTATACTCAAAAACCCAATCCTCAAGATGATAGTAAACAGCATGTACTGCAAACATGTATTAATGTCAAAAAGGAAAATTAAACAAAACAACAATACTAGCAAGTAAACCTCATCTGTTAGCACTGCTCTGAAGACAGTACTCCACTTGAGACTAAAGAGAATGCATGAAGCAGATGACATAGTGTCTGTTCCAAGAAATGTAAAGTGCAGTAGGGGAGACATATATTCACCAAATAGTCACAAATGATGATGTAATTAAATGACTTAATGCCCACCTTATACTTAGGATTGCATGGAACAAAATAAATTCTTACAAGGAAAAGTACTATTTTTTTGTCATAATAAGCAATCTATAGGTGACTTTGGGAACAACAAAATAGGAAATACTAATTTTGGTGGGTTGATGAAGAAATATTTATCTAAGAAACTGGATTCTAGGCTGAAATCTCATTTGTGAGTATTTTTTTGCTGAAATTCTTTTATTGGTACATTTTAGGTATGCAATACATTCACATTTATCATTGGGTGCTTGTACCTTTACATGATGTATCTTGGTTCTTATTTTTTCCCCATTCCCTGTGCTCCCTTCACTGCCTCCACCCTTCCTATTTACAGACTTTGGTTCCATTTTTTTCCTTTTCTCATAATTTAACCTTTCCCTTCTTTCCTTTCGCCTTTCAGTCCCACTTCTCCTACACCTTTGGAACTTTTCTTCTATTTCAAATTATGAATTATTCATTTTAAACATTTTAATCCTTATTTACACTTTCAGTTTCTCACACTAGAGAAACTATTTGGTATTTACACATGTGTGTCCTATTTAATTCACTTAAGAGTATGGCCTCAATATACACCCATTTGGCTATAAATGTCTCTAGTTTCTCATTCTTCGTGGTTGAGTAGTACTCCATTTTATATTTAAAAAAATCTTCTTTATCCAGGTTCCATTTGATGGGCACTTGGGCTGTTTCCAAGCTTTAGCTATTACAAACTGAGTCGCTATAAACATTGATGCACATATATCACTATGTTATGATTCTTTTAATTCTTTTGAGAAGATACCTAGCAGCGGAAGAACTGGGTCAAATGGGACCTCTAGCCCTAGTTCTTTGTGGTATCTCCATACTGATTTCCACAGTGGTTTCACCAGTCTGCACTCCCATCAACAGTGGAAAAGGGTTCCTTTCTCCCCACACCCCTGCCATCATTTGTTATTGGTTGATTTCTTGATAGCAGCCATTCTTCCTTGGGTGAGGTGGAATCTCAGTGTTCTTTGAATCTGGATCTCTCTAATGACCAGTCATGTTGAGCATTTTTTCATGTTTCTATGCTGTTTTTACTTCTTTGAGTGAGAAATGTCTGTTCATTTCAGATGCCCATTTTAAAATTGGGTCTTTGAATTTGGGGTGTCTGATCTTTTTCAGTTCTTTATATACTCTAGATAGTAGTCCTTTGTCAGAGGTACAGCTGCTAAAAATTTTTTCCCACATTTTAGGTTGTCTCTTAGCTCTGTTGGTGGTTTCTCTTGCAGTGCAAAAGCTTTTTATTAAGATGAGATCCCAGTTGTTGATTCTTTATGCTAGTTCCTGTACTACTGAGGTTTTGCTCATAAAGTCTTTTCCTTTGTCAATGTCTTCGAGAGTTCTACCTAACTTATCTTCCAGCAAGTTTCATGTTTCTGTCTTAATATTTAGATCTTCAATCCACTTCGATTATTAGTTTAGTGTATGTTGATAAGTATGTGTCTAGTTTTAATCTTTGGCAGGTTGAAATCCAGTTTTTCCAACACCATTAAATAGGCTATTTTTCCTCCAATGAGAGTGGTTGCCTCCTTTGTCAAAGATGAGGGGGCTCAGTATGTCTGGATCTTCTAATCTATTCCACTGATCCTTGGGGTTTTTTTCCATTACCATGCTGTTTTTATCATAGTAACTTTGTAGTATAGTTTCAAGTTGGGGATTATGATACCTCATGCCATGTCTCTGTTGCCTAGAATTGCTTTTGCCATTCTAAGTCTCTTCTGCTTCCAAATGAATTTGTGGATTATTTTCTCTAGTTCTGTGAAATATACTGGAATTTCAATTGGCATTGCATTAAATCTATATAGCAGTTTTGGAAGTATGGCCATTTTCACTATATTGGTTCTTCCTACCCAGGAACAAGGGATGTCTTTCCATTTTCTTATATCCTCTTCCATTTCTTTTTTTCAGAGCACTGTAGTTTTCAGTGTAGAGGTCTTTTGCTTTCTTTGATAGGTTGATCCCTACATATTTTTTTGGATGCTATTGTAGAAGGAATTGTTTCACTAATTTCTCTCTCAGTGAGTCTGTTATTTGTTTTTAAGAAGGCTATTGTTGTTTGAATGTTGATCTTGTATCCAGCTACTCTACTGATTCTGTCAATTAAGTTTAGAAGTCTTTTGCCAGAGTTTTTTGGGTCTTCTATGTAATGTATCATATCGTCAGCAAATAATGACAGTTTAACTTCTTCCTTCTGTATTTTTATTCCTTGTATTTCTTTCTCTTTTCTAATTGCACTGGCTAATGTTTCCAGAAATACATTAAACAAAGGTGGTGATAGTGGATATCCTTGTCTTGTTCCTGAATTTAGTGTGAAAGTTTTCAGTTTTTGACCATTTAGTATGATGTTGGCTGTTGGTTTTTCACAGATAGCCTTAATCAGGTTGAGATAAAGACTTTGTATTCCAATTTTCTGTAGGGTTTTTATCATGAATGGGTGTTAGATTTTGTCAAATGCTTTTTCCACATCTATTGAGATGATAATATGTTTTTTGTCCTTGGCTCTGTTAATTTCGTGTATTACATTTATTGATTTGTGTATTTTGAAGAATCCTGCATTGCTAGGATAAATCTGACTTGGTCATGGAGTGTGAACTTCTTGATAACCCTCTGTATTCTCTTTGCCTGTATATTGTTGAGGATTTTTGCATCTATGTTCTTTAGGGATATTGTCCTGTAGTTCTCTTATTGGGTTGGGTCTTTCCCTGGTTTTGGAATCAAAGTAACACTTCCTTCCAGGAATGAATTTGGAAGTATTGATTCCCTTTCAATTTCCTTGATGAGTTTAAAGACTAAGGGTGATATTTCTTCTTCTGTGTGTGTGTGTGTGTGTGTGTGTGTGTGTCTTGGGATCGAACTCAGGACCTTGTACTCGAGAATCAGGCACAGTGGCACTGAACTAAATCCCAGCCTAGTTATTCTTTAAACGTTTTATTGAATTCAGCAGTGAAGCCATCAGGACCCGGGCTTTTCCTTGTTGGTTAATTTTTTATTACATTTTCAATTTCACTCATTGTAATTGGGGTGTTTGGAATTTCTATATCTTCTATAATTTTGGGAATTCATATGTATCTCAGAATCTGTCCATTTCTTCTGTTTTCCATTTTACTAGATTTCAGGTTCTCAAAGTAGGTATGGAAGATCCTCTGGGTTTGTGCTTGATCTGTTGTGACTTCACATTTTTTTTAATTGCATGGATTTGAGCCTTTTCTCTCCTTTTTCTCACAAGCTTGCCTCAAGATTTATCAGTTTTATTTATTCTTTCAAGAAACCAACTCTTTGATTCATTGATTTTTTTTGTGTCATTCTCTTACTCTCCATTGCATTGATTTCTGCTCTGATCTTTATGATTTCCTCTCTTGCATGAGCTTTGGGTTGGTTATGCACTTTTGCTAGAAGCTTCAGGTTCAGCATTAGGTTGTTTATTTGAGCTCTCTCTCTCTCTCTGTTTTCCTAATATGGTCATTCACTGCTATGAATTTCCCTCATAGAACTGCTTTTGTTATGTCCCATAGATTCCTGTATGCTGTACTGGCATTACCATTTACTTGTAGATACTGTCTCATTTCTTCTTTAATTTTCTCTGTGATCCATTTGTTGTTCAGAAGGGTGTTATATGGTTTCCCTGTGTTTGTGGGGGTTTTGCAGTTTCTTATGTTATTGATCTCCAATTTTATTGCACTATGGTCTGATAATATACAGGGGGTAACTTCAATTCTTTCACATTTACTTAGATATGTCCTATGAGCTAGCATGTGTTCTATTTTGGAGAATACCCCGTGTGCAGCCAAAAAGAATGTATATTCTGATTTTGTGGGGTGGAATACTCTGTAAACATCTATTAAGTCCATTTGTTAAATAGCTTGGTTCAGTTCTAGAGTTTTGTTGTTGATTTTTTGTC